TATGACAGTCTACTTTAATTTCAAAATATTACCAAAAAAAAAAAAAGAAAAAGAAAAAAAACCGAATATTACAACAAGACATCAAATTACAAAGGATTTGATCTTCTGCCAAAACTTCTTCTCAAAGTCCACACGGCCTCAAAAATAAAAAAACCTAACCTTCTTATCAGAGGTAGTGCTCAAAACAGCTATCTCCGGGATAAGACAACCAATGGGTAGATTCCAAATTCAAAATTTACCAGCAATTTAATCCCTGAAAAGATGTATAAAAGTCGGCATTACTTCAGCGCAAGAGAGTGCATATTTATGTCAGCATATAATTTCACTTAGAAATAAGTTTCTATATTTTTTCTTCATCACACAAGAGTTTACTATACACTAGCAAAAAAACAGCAATTCAGCTATGATTATATATCTTTTTTGTAACACAAATGCAGCAGGTTAACTAATGTCAGCATATTTACTATACACTAGCAAAAGAACATCTTTAGGAATGCCTCAAAAGCTAAGAACAGTACACTTTCAGGCTTCAACTGGCATATCTCATATAATAATTCAGCAATTTTCAATTGTGTTGTATTGTTATATATGAGGTAAGAGTGTTAAGCACCACCACTCTACTAAGGTTCACCTTGCAATCAAGTTGACAGCTCGCACAGACAGGTGCATTAGACCGATGCCACAGCCACTCTCACACCAAGTTTCAACCGGCTACCCATGGATCTTATGTTATTTCATATTTATTTTAGTAAAAGTAGCTCGAATCTGGTTTTCAATAATATATGGGAAAATACAATGTAAACACCAATAACAACAAGATGGTCAAAAAGTTTCAACAGATCGACGGAATTATCCCAGAACCTCGATTGCTAAGACTAGGACTTTAATAAGCAAAAGAATAACTTTCAAAAGCAGAGACTGAGCCGAAGTATGACTTCCAAAGGAGCTCAATGCAAGGGAAATATGCTAATACTATTATGTTCTAGTGTTGATTTTCCAATTTAAACCAAGGACTTCCAGAAAATGAAAGTAAAACCCCTGCATTGGCAAAATGAATCAAAAAAAGAGTAAGGAGAAAGGGTTCGCTGATTCCAACTTAAAGGTAAACAGTATATGTTTTGAGGACTAATATCTTTTCCAAGAGATGTAACCACTCCAATTTGGCCATATATAAGGCATTGCTATGAGGTAACAGACATGTCACACTAACATAGCTGACAGGGCAAGGGCTACCAGCTAAACCTATATAAGACATAGGTATAAGTAACACAATAAAGAACTACTGTAAAAATGATAGTTACTAAAGTTGTCCAAGTTAGTAGGGACTAGTCATATTATGAGATGATTAAAACCGTAAATTAAACTTCGATAAAGACGTAATTCTTAAACAAATAACCATAAATTATAAGAAGAATTAGTTTAAAGTTAAAACATGGATCAGGATCCTCACCAGTACTTGATTAAGCCATCCCATCCACAGGTAGCGACTTTGCTTTGTTCCAACGGGTGCCATTCACAACCAATACAAACTCCCTCATGACACTTGAGAGTCCTAAACACTTTGCAACTCTTCCAATCCCAAAACCAACACCTCCCCTCACCATCCCCCGACATTACAAACCGACCATCAGGGGAAAAGTTAACCTGGCAAGCATACCCTGCTATGATATGCCCAGCAAACCTCTTCTTCTTGTTGAGCTGGAATCTCTCTCTGGTGCTGTAAATAAGTATCTGATTATCCAAACTCTGACAGGCAAGCCAATGTGAATTCGGGTGCATAGAGATTGCAGGCATTGAATGCATATGGGGTTCACTAATATACTTTATAACCACCGGAATCCCAAACTCCCACACACGCAGTGACTTATCATCACTTGATGTAACAAACCTCCTGTTGTTATCCACAAAAGTAATTGTATTAACCGCTCCTAAATGCTGATCATACTCCTGTGTAATCTGCCCTGTATTAATATCCCACTGCACAATCTTCTTATCACTTGTTCCTGCTAACAAAACATTTTGTTTATCTTCATCTGGATTAAGCCTCACTACATAAGGGATCTTTCCAGTCGAGAAAGTTGATATCACTTGCCCCGTCTCTGTATCCCAATATTTAATATTCTTATCGTATCCAGCACTCAAAAATTTCGTCCCGTCATTGCTAAACCATATATCACGCACGGCCTTCGAGTGGCCCATGTAAGTTCTCATACACTTACCGGAATTATACACGTCCCAGATTTTCACCTTTGTATCCATTCCAGCAGACAGTATCAAATGGCCATGCTTGGGGAAAAACTTAATAGCCGAAACACCTTTTGTGTGCCCACTCCAAGTGTGCACCAATCTTTTGGGTATGTAACAATGATCGTTACTCGCTTTAGCATCCTTAGGTGGCGCAATCCACGACCTCCCTTGATAATCCTTCTCCTCTTTCCCGTGAAATGTAGTCTTGTCGAGATGAGCCTCCCCTTTCTCCCTCTCTGCTCCTTCCTTCTCTCCCTTCTTCTTTGCATGCTCCTCGGCATACTTCTTCTGCTCCTCAGTTAACTCACCTTGCACCCATTCCTTCTTCCCGGCCCACGGGCTTTTCCTGTTCTTCATCAGCCACGAGTCGGTTGCAGGATTCTCCAACTCGCCTCTATCCACCTGATCTACTCCCTCATTCTCCTCAAGCATCTCCTTCTTCTTCTCCAGTTTCCTCTTCTTCTGCTCGTGCTGCGGTATGTTGTACACCGAAATCCCATCATTTTTCTTAAACCCTTCCACATCTCCAACATAATTATTCTCTGAAGGATCCGCTGCGTAACCGAATTTGTAAAATGTGTTGTACTGCTCGTCGAACACGAAGGACCCTATATTGGCGTTCTCCACGAACCCTAGTTTGTGGTTGCGGAGGCCTTGAGCGAGACCGTCCTTGGAATAGGGATGAGAGGGGCCCACGATGGGCGTCCACAGCTGGTCGTAGGTGGGATTGAAGGAGACGAGGCGCTGGGTCGGATCAATTGGCTTGTGGGCTTCCGACAGGGCCTTTCCGGCGACGGTGAGGGAGAGCATGGTGTCGTCGACTTTCGGGGCGGCGGATCTGGTGGGTAGGGAGATCCGGATTGGGGACGAATCCGGCGAAGGGTCCGGGTCCGGGTCCGACGTTGCGGATGGATGGGGCGAAGCGACGTCGTGGTCCATGTCGGAGTCTCTGTATGATTGGAGGAGATCCATAGTTAGGGCTTAGCTGAATCAGAGAGGAGGAGCACGAGAACAACGGGAAATTGAAAAAAAAAAATAGTTGGGACTAGTAGGACTGCATATGAATGGAGCAGCTCGCAAGCCGCTCGCGATCGACGAGTCAAAGCTGCTCGAGCTCGAGTTTGACCGAATTTGAGTCGACTTCAAACGGTTCGAGCACAAATTCGAGTTGAGCCAAAGCTCATATTTTGCATTGTGGATGGCCGAGAGCGGCTTGAAATATATGCTAAATTACTAAAAAAAACCCTTATATATGTATCATAATATTAATATATGTACTCAATTGTAATTTTATAAACTTGTTTGAAAATTTTGAACCGAACTCGAGTCGAGCTCGAACATTTTGAATTCGAGTCGAAGAGCTATTGTATTTTTTATCTAGTCCAACTTGAGCCTCATAAATCGACCTTGAATACGAGCTCGAGCAGCTAAAAAAATCAATCATGCTAGATAAGGCTAATGTTCAGCTCAACTCAACTCGTTTGCAGCTCTAGTTGGGACCAAAGAAATTATATCGGTACCCATGTTTAACTGGATCAATTTTTAGACCCCATATTTTGTCCGTCAATAACTTTCAGTCCAAACGTCCAACACTAACCCTATAACCAACAAAAATTTTAATTAGTAAAATATTACATATTAAAAAATTTATTAATAATATTAAATGAAAGATTAAATTCATCATCATCATCTTCTCCACCTATCTTGTCGGTAATATAGCCCCAGCTCGGCTAAACATGTTTGTCACCTCATTAGTGAGCGAGCTAAAGAGATAAAATCGTCTAGGTTGGTCTGATGGGTCATCTTCTAGATCTTGATTGGACCGGTTGAGATGAGCTTCGATTTGCCTAAACTGTTGCGTTCGTACCTGCAAGAACTTCACGCTAGAGGAATTTCTAGTGAAGAGCCTCCGATGCTTAAGTCAATGTCAGGAAGAAGATGCTCAGTAAATGATAGCAGTATAATGTATGGAGAATGTCAAAGTTGAGATTTGGTGATACCTTAGCCCCCTTTTATAGGGGAAGTACATGTCTGAAATGCCCTGCCCGCGGCCAGCCAGGCTTATCCACATCCTAATCACCTCTTAGGCAGATTCTAGTTATCGTGTAATTCCTTATTATCCCCTTAAAATTCATCATTATCCTTTATGTCCATTTAATCTCGGACCGCAATATTCACTAATAATCTCTACCTCGAGCTGCGAGGCAAATTAGGTCGTCTTTTAGGTGATAGAGGTCGACTTCGGCAACATCTCGAGGGCCGGGTCGTCCAATGTCCTTTCGTCTGAACCGAGTTGTTCTATGATCAAATCATCACCTTCCAAGTCGTTATCTCTCATTATGTACGGTCGTCTTCGAGCTGTTGCAAACTCCTCAAATTTTTTCTTTTCAGTCATCATGCTCCTAGAATATCTGTCTCAAGTCGAAATATTTAGGCGACTTATAATCTAGTCGATCTTCCAATACTTAACTCGGTCTACGCGAGTATGACTATATCACGATCCATGTTCAATGCGCTGCAAATGTACAATTATATTAGATGAATTGCAAACTAATGACCAAGAGAGTGCATAATAGCGGCTCAAATAAAATTTTCGGTTTTAAATTTTATATTTCTATTAGTTTATTTGTATTTATTTTTAAAAATATCGGTTATTTCAATTCGATGTCTACTTTATTTGTTAAAATAACTGAAATAATCGAACTGACCGAACTATATAAAAAAATAAATTATATATATATATATATATATATATATATGTAAAAAAATTATATACTTTTGGTAAAAAAATATTAAATATTAATTACATTTACAAAAATATTAATATATTTTGATTAATTACAAATATGACACATGTACTTAATTGTAATATACTAAAATTTTTACAATTTGCAACTAGACCCTCATATGTTATCAATTTTTCAATACAAAAACCCCAACACACAAGCAGTTTTTGGTCGCCCCCTGATGTACAAGTCGCTGCCGCCGGCTGGGAACCGCCTGTCTGTTGGATGTCACACCAATGTGGGATGCATTATTTCATGTCGATGTTTGGTTCAATGATCACACCAATGTGGTGTTTATATAGTGATTGTGCATGTAATCTACCTATAAATTTGAATTTAAAGAAAAATAATTATAAAAAAACATTTGAAAATAGAATTTTCTGATATTTGGTAATGTAATCAAAGATGGACATAAAATTTATTTGATTTTATTTTCCTAACTAATTGAATAATTACTGACACAAAGTTCAAAGCTAACACATTTTGTTACAAAAATAAAAAGGATAGAAAATCTGAGTTGATTCGAATTCTCATAACTTAAGAATCTATCAATTTTGTGGAATATCAATTGATTTGAATTTTCAAAACCTAAAAATATGTCAAGTTTTAGAGATTCACATGGATTTTGTTAGGAAATAGAAAGAGGATCATTTTTACGGAAAATAATTGTTAGCAAATATTTTATTAATGTGTATCAAGAGTTACTTAAAAGAGTTGTATTGGGAGTCTATTACTATTACTTGAAAAAAAAATCGTAGCATAAATGCACTGAATATACATCCCAATAAAAAAAAGATGACCAAAATTGAAATGATTTGCATTCGAATTTTAATTTTATTTGAATTTATTTTCTTAAATAATTGGATTAGGATAGACATCAAACAAAAAATTTATCCGATTTTATTTAAGAAAAAAGTGGATATGAAATGTGTTGTATATTGTGTTTGAATATAAAAAACTTGAATTTTAAGAAAAATAAATCAATTAATTAAAGAAAAGGATACAAAATTTGTAACGCCCAGATTTTTATTTACTATTTATGGAGCTCGACTATATTTCCATAAATATTAAGTTTCTAAATTTGATGCATTATTTATATTTATTTGCATTAAATTAAATAATTAGAAGTAAAGTCTAAGCCATTAATAATTCTTCCGACTTTAATTATTAAAGTTGGAATTTTATTTAAGTGATCCGAAGTCGGATAATTTGATTATTCGAGCCCAATTAATTTTGAGCGAATCCAATAATTTCAGTCGGCCATTTTAATTCGAATAGTCGAATTAATTTTCAAGACCAAGCGATATATTAAATATCGAGCCCTCGTAGTATTTAATTTCGGCCCAAGTCGAAATTATTACTACAAGCCGTCATTTTTTGTAATTAACCGACCAATTATTCTAGTAAATTGGATCGACTAATTTAATTAGCCCAAGTCCGGTTAATTTTATTAACCGAGCATTTAATTCTTTAATCGATATTCAATATAAAATTTGAGCCCAAGTCGAATTAAATTTAGTAGCCCGATTATTAAGCCCGACTTTATTAAATTGTCAAGCCCGATTTTAAAGCCCACTATACACAAGAAACCCTAAGCTCCTCCCAGCTTCTATAAATAGCATATGTTCCCTTGTCTCCCAACCCCCCAACATCAAGACACAAACTCTAGCCACCATAATCATTATTCATCATCTCCCTCACTACACCATCTCATTTTCAAGATCCAAGCTCTATCCTCCCCTTTTTATTCAAGAATATCAAAGAAAACAACACTCCATGGCTTGAGCTTCATCCTCCTCCCGTTTTCCGGCGAGTTTTCCGGCGAACCCGCAGCTCGAGCTCCATTTCCGGCCATCTTCCCCGGCGAGCTCGCCACTGCCGCGTCCAGGCCTCAGCCCGACTCCCAGCAGCTCGTTTCCAGCTCGTCCACGCCCTTCCCAGCTCACTCGCGCCGGAAACCCGCAGCCCTCGTTCCCAGTTTTCCGGCGAGATTCAGCCTGCCTCCGTCGTCCACAGTTTTCAGCTCCGGCTCGCGACTCCAGTTCCGGCGAGCCTCCGCCTCCAGCTCCATTTTTCCGGTTCTGTTTGCAGCTCCTCCTCATCGCGACCACCACGCGCCGCCGTCCTCAGCCGAGCTCCGCGACCAACAGCTCTTTCTCAGCTCGCTCGTTTTTCCGGCGACCAAGCTAAGCCCCGTCGCGACCAGCTTCAGCTCCGTCCAGTCCAAGCTCAAAGCTCGCGTCACAGACCCGAAATCGCGACCCTATCAGCTCCTGTGCGCACCAGGCCGCAGCTCCGCCACCGACCTCCGTTTTCCGGCGAGTTTCAGCCGCCTCTATCCTCCACAGCCCCGATTCGCGACCAGCAGCGACCAACAGCTCCATTCTCAACCCTAGCTCCGACCAACATCTCCTTAGACCCATTTTCAGCAAGCTTGAAGCCTCAAAATCCGACCCGGTTGCTCCGCCTCCTTATTTTCTTACCCGATCTTTTTTCGGTCCTCCCGATCCGAGTCGTTTTAAGGTATAATTATTAACTCTCCGTTTTGACGGCTTAGACATAATATTTGAATTGACATAAAAGAATAAATTGGGAGATTTGAGCGATTTTGAATAAATCGGGATTTTCGGGCTTAAAGCTAAAATGTTCGACTTTTTGAATAAATGCGATAAAATATTGAAATAAATACTATAAAATTTGTTACTTCATTTTGAGGCGTAGGATTAAATTTCATAATTTTCGGACTTGGCTTGGTAGGTAAACGAGCCGGTCAAATGCGTTGACCAGTCGTAGCGATTTCTAGTTGACTAAGTTAGGAGTTGACTTTTGACTTGAGATGTTGACCATAGAATATTTATATACTGAGGATGTTATGTTTCGAGTTTCGTAATTTTTGGATGTTGTTTGACTTAGTTATAAAAATCGAGACTTTAGATATTAATGCCGTAATAATAAATAATGGTTTAATTGAGACTGTAGCTGCATTTGTGGATTATAGATTTATTATAAATCACATAGAATATGTATATTAAATATCGGCCTTAATTGAGTTAGGATTTTCCAGAATCAAAACCCTAGTTTTATCCAGTTTCGATAACCGGGTATTTTTCCGGATCTGATTATAATTGGTTGAACCCTAGTACCGTCTGGATAATTATTAGCCTTCTTATCGTCAATTCGTAATAC